TTTAGGCCGGCAAAAAGTCCATCAACACCATTTTCGAACCCCCAAAATTAGAGAAGAGTCAAATTGGTGCTTAGCATTTTTGCTGCTAAAACCTTTTATTAACAATATAATTCAAGCTCCGGTTATCAATAAGCAGTCTCATAATTACATTTGAAGTATCATATAGTAAAGGCTCCTGTTGTACAATTGGGCGTATATCAGTTTAAAAACGGTGAAATTCACACGATATGCTATGATAGGAAAGTCAGCTGCTGATATGGAGTCAGCTATGATGATGGATTCCAAGGACATAACTCGACACCTGAAATACTTAAATACCTTAAAGATCTCCATCCTGAAGGGATGCTGAAGTATATCCGAAGACACTTGTAATCTCTCACCACCTATAAATGGGAATCGAGTGGTACAATTAATAGAGAAGTTTAAAGCGATGGGCTGTGAATACATCAGCGATGAGTGAATTTGCTGTGTCAAACTTCCCATGACCTCTTGACCAAGTCAAAGTTTTCACAAACTCAAATTGGCGGCAAAAATCTTTGAGAATGTACAAAATAATTGAGACACATAAAACAAAAGTGGAAATACTTAAAATATGTAAAAACTATGTGAACTAATATTTTTTTGTGATTTATGGAAAGTTTTGTTTAATTATCTGCAAAAAGATCCTTCAAATACATTAATTAAGTATGGAATTTTAACTTGTGTTTGAACAGCTCTCAAACTGTTAGACACACTTTACCTTTCTGCTACTGATAAATTTTCAGTAGCCTATGCCTGTTTTGCTATTTAAAAGGCAAGTAGGACGGCGACCTTGGTCAGGATTTAAACTGTTCAATTTTCAGCATACTGCCATTGCCTCTCTCGTTCGGCTCATTCTCTACATACCTCTTAAGTGTGTGTCGTCTATGAGACATTTGTAGAGCCTCATAGAGAACGAACGAATTGTAAAAAATTATACTTCGTTAACGTCGATCCAGTACGATCCACTTCTCCTGGGATCTGAATATCGTTGATGTGACATAACTGAAGCCCTGTGCATGACAATTTTGTGCATTCTGTAGGCAACAAGGATGGTGTATAAAAAGCACGGCGGATTTCCCAATTGCGCTTGTTTGATTATGAATTGACTGTTGATGCGATCCATCATTTTACTTTTACACTACAAACTATTGTCAAGGACACAAGTGGCTCGTATGGATACCAATTTGTTACTGTTAAGAAGTCACTTGATGAATCCTTGCACCAATGCGAACTAATGCATGCGTGAGTATCGCCAGAGCTGCGCTATATGCCTCGTGTGATGATTTCATGGATTTGACGTCTGTATATAAAGCTAATATATTTGCGTGGTACAAGTTTCCTTCCCACTGTATATATATATTACTCACTACCTTAAAAAATAGCAACCAACTAATTGGCACGCACATCGACTCACTCCCGAGAAACAAACAAATTTTATGGAACTGCAAGAAAGAAATATTTTCTCGAAATATGCACAAACATTTCCTATTTTGCCCACAGTAAGGGAAAGATTTTCGTAACCACATCAATACATGAGCAACTAAACCAACGCTATGCGCACGTCCTTTATTTGACAAACTACTGAATAGTAATAAGTAGCATAGATATTTGTTAAACGGTGCCGCTATGCTGATAGACTAGCGACAATTAAGGTTTTGAGCTCGAGCCTGCTATTCTACACCCACCATCGCTATCACAAATCCAAAGCCAAATTTTAGTTTTTTTAGTGCTTTCTCCCCCATGGGGAAGAAAATGTGTTTCGATATATAAAATTTACCCATTTTCACTCATAATCGCTTCCGCTATTTTAAGTGGTAAGTTGTGATACAAACTTAGAAAATGGACTTCCTAAATACTAACAGGTCCTTTAATCTTGAAGCTAGATACTTATAAGCCAGAAGGAGGAAAATTTCGAAAGCAAGAAACACCGATAGAAAACCGGGTAAATGTGCGAAGAGGAAGCCATTTCTTTACTTCGTAGTCCAACCTGTAATTTTGTTTACGTGACCATTCGACGTCTGGCGGTCACTTTATGATTCATCAAGTCCTTGCACGCTTAAGCCGGCCTTCGAGCCAAGCTAAGGCCTAATTCCTTTGTTCGCCTTGAAATCCATGCTTTTAGCTCCACTTTAGGTCTTCGTCTACTCGGTGAGAAGTCTCGGGACGCTAAACAAGACACTAACTATGGATTTAGTGAACGTTGAAAAGTAGTGCAACAAGCATGACTGGAGTTGTTAACGCCTGTGCTCTTTACCATTCCTTGCAGAAGTCTTGACTACCAGTAAATCAAAACAAAACACAATATCGTTAAGTGGACTTCAAAATACTTCATACAAGAGAATCAGTTGGGGCTCATTTTTGCTGGAGCATATTTGATGGCGTTTGTGCA